TGTGTGTGTGTGTGTGTGTGTGTGTGTGTGTGTGTGTGTGTGTGTGTAATGGAACAGTTTGGAATACCATTGGTGAATCAATTTGTGGAGTCACTGTAAAGGACTTACCTCAGAATCAACCAGTTCTTTGTGTTGTGACTTGTTTGTGGAAGCTATCTTCTTGTACAAAGAGAATCCTCGTGTCTGAAAGTCATGACAGATGGGTTAGTCATGTCCACAACACCACAGAGGCAGCTACTGTTCTGACTTTTGGCATCCAAACTATTCCCCAGCCTCACATCACAACTCCAGTTTCACTGCTTCTGTGCCACAATGAGCAGCTCTTCTGTGCAGCCCTGTTCTGGGCTCTGGGGCTGAGCAGGATTTTCCTTTATGCGGGGGGGGAAATGTTTAAAGGAGAGAATACCTTCCTTTTTCCAGATTCTATCATCACCCTCACCATTCTATATGGTTTTTTGATTGATTAAATGACCAAAGGCCTCCACTGTCTTACAATATAGGGTCTGATCAGATTGCTTACATTCTGTTTTCACTAAGTTAATATAAATCGATCTTTTCTAGTTTAGTTTCTCTCCTTTACCTGCCCTCCCGTCCATGTTGTGGTAGTTAGGTGCTCCTTCCTCAATGTGAGAAATTTCTTAATATTTTAGGGCATCCAGGTGGGCAACTGGATTGCTCCATAGTTCATCTGCTTGTCACCCTCTGACTTTTCCATTTCTAGTACCTTATTTTCCATCTCGTAGGTGGGCCAGGCAATTAAGTGCTGCTTAGACAGGACAAAGTCCTAAAATCTGGTGCTTTGTGTTGTAAGCTAGCATGTCACATGTTTGAAAATATACAAAGACAACTATTCATTATAGAACTATATTATAAGACCGGTATAAGCCCTTCAGGTCTCAGCATGTTCCATAGATCCATTCCAATTTCTTAAAATGGAAAGAATTAGAGTATTTTATGAGAAGAGCCTCTGCTCTTAATTCTGCTCATCCTTCCTCTGTTCTAGGTGGACCGATTGCTTCTCCCATCAGGTATGATGTAAAAATAGAGGATTCGCTGTATATGGGGAATAGACTATTTAAAAATACTATAAATCTCCCCTCTTCACAGGGAATCCTCTGTTCTGGCATTTCCCTCCCTATACACGCTTTGAATGTTTCTAGGATTTAAAAGCTATGGACATTTCTCAACTAGGGCTGCAATGTGTTTTACAGAGGGATCCGTTCAAAAAAATCTGGGAGCATGGCTAACCCATTAGTTATGACTTCGACTTGAAAATTCTTTGTTTTAGGAAGACATTTATGGTAAATTTAAAATGTTTCACTGAGGTTGTAACTCTTACCTCCAGGCCCTTGGTCTCTGATACAGTGGTGAACTACATGGAGTACTATACCCAAATGCTACCACAGCTATGTTAAATTGTTTTGGGTCCTGTGAGTACGTATAATCCAGGGGTTGTGATCTTGTACAAGTTTATTTGATATTTTAATGTATCAATCTTTAATTTTAATGATAAACTGTAAATAAAAGCCAGTAATCAAGAGGATGTGCATAGCTCTTTATTTTGTTATGTTACTGTAGCATGCTTGGGTAGCAACCTCTATGGTTAAGAATGAATAATAGTTTGTGTGATAAACCCCAGTTTTCAGACTTTTTACTTTCTTAAAATTTTATCTTCTTGGGGCTGAAGTTTTCCATGCTTGGTCTCTCCACATAAAAAAGCCTGCCTGAGTGCAAAGTGCAAGCAAAATCCTTTAGTTGTTTGAGTCTTAAGAGAATGGAGAAATTTGTTCCCTTTTTTTTGCTGTGTAATTATTATTTGGGGGGGAATTCCATAGAAACAATAGAATCTCTAAACGTGGGATGTGGTATGTACTGATCAAACATCCATTGTAATCTACAGGAGGCCTTTACTGTTGACTAAGTCAATGGGGGCTGAATCAGCCCCCTAGCTTTAATGAAGTTTAACAAAGTGCAAGGCCTATCTGTTAAATGACCAAGTTAAGACTGTTGGAAAATCCATCCAGGCTGATGCACAGTGGAGATCAATTGTGGATGGGCTGCATATCCATGCATATCCATGATAGCTCTATTATTGCTGAATTGTTCCAAACCAGTTCACACATTGCAAATGTTCCAGCATATCTATTAGGGTGGGGTGAATTATCCTCTTGCTAATCTGTCGGCCTAGTTTCTTACCTACCAGGTCATCTGATCCTGCTCACAGTAGGTCTAAAAAAGCTCTTGGGTCTTAAAGTCCAAACAGCAAGATTTCTGGGGCAAAACCTTGTCCCCATTAAGTCAGTGGCAAAACTTCCAGTGGTCTCAGGAGGGCCACATGTGCTCTCAAAAGTCAGATTAGACTAAATGTCCCTGTGTTTGTCTCAGAGTTGGTAATATTCCTTGCATTAGCCTGCTAAACCCAGGGCTGTGAGTTCAATCCTTGAGGGGGCCATTTAGGGATCTGGGGCAAAAATCTGTCTGGAGATTGGTCCTGCCTTGAGCAGGGGGTTGGACTAGATGACCTCCTGGGGTCCCTTCCAACCCTGATATTCTATGATTAAACTCCCTGGGGATGTCTCTTTTTCTGTCTGACACCACAGTGCTACCTGAGAACTGAACACCCCTTATCTGGTCTGAAAACTGTCTGCAACTGGGATTTAGGAGAATTGTTTGCTTAACTGCTGGAACCCCTCATAACAGTGTAAGGCAGAAGGCAGTCACTGTGCAGAGAGTTCAGTGTCCTCACATGCCAATGGATGGGGGAATTTTGCACCACTGCACATGCACAGAATTCACGTACCCTGCAGAAAAATGACTTTCTGATAGGGAAGCTGCAAGAGCAGTCATGCACCACTTCCTAGCTGTGCAGGTGCACAGTTTCAGGAACCCAGAGCAGCCAGCAGAGAGACCAATCACTGCAGGGCCAGGGACACCCCAGCCAGTGGCTCCTACCCTGAGCCGGGATCAGCTGCTAGTCCCAGCTGGGCTGGAGGCAGAAGGGGACGGGACTTCCTCTTCCTCTGCAAGGAGTGGCTGGGGCTGTCAAACAATTCTCCACCCCCATAAACCTTCCCCAGCTGCAGGAAGTTCAGCATCCTCCCCTGCTTCCTGCCCCCATAGCTCCTTAGCTGCCTGGGAGGGGTCACTGTATGGGGAGCTGCTCCCCCATTCGCCCAACCCCCGTGCATCTGGACCACCCATACCAAGCCTCACCCCATACACCCAGAACCCCCCTAGCCCTCCATACCCAAACCCTACCTCATTGAACCTCAACTCCTGCATCTGGAGCCCCCAGACCTCCTGCCTCCAGCCCCCCACCCCTTTGCCCAGACTACCCCTCACTGAGCTCCCTACATTCAAACCCCCACCCTGATGAGCTGCACCACCCTGAGCCCCCATATCCACACCCCCATACCACTGACCCCAATTAGCTGCACCCAGACCCCCACCCCACCAAGCCCCTCTCCCCCAGTAGCCGGACTTCCCTGCTGAGACCCCACACCCTTCTGCTGAGCCCCAACCACTTTCACCTGGAAGCCCCTCCAGAGTCCCATTGCCCCTGCACCTAGAACCCCCCCAATGAGCCTCTGTGCATCCAGATCCCCCCACACCTAAACACCCCACTGAGCTGCCTGCACCCAGATTGTCCCACACAGAATCCTCTCACCCCATACCTGGATACCCGCCCCCCACACTGAGCCCCTCGACACTTGGATGCTGCCTGGTTGAGCCTGCCTGCACCACAGCTGGTGCGCCTGGCGCAGAGGGGCAGGGCTGTAGGGTGTTTCTGGGGTAGGCCCAGGCCTTGTACTGTGTCGGGTGCAGCCTCACCACTGAGTCCGTGCCCTCTGGGTAGGGGGTGGGGAGGCTGCAGGGTGATCTCCCACATTCATGCAGCTGGTGGCCTGTGCTCCCCACTGCCATGCTGGAGCCTCTGCATTTATTTATTGACAAATAAAACTTGCAGTTGCAAAATATTCTGTGCATAATTTTTATTTTTTTGTTTTTGGCGCAGAATGCCCTCGAGTGTGGGGAGACGGCAGAGTAGCCAACGCTGGTATCTTAATCATTTTCTCTACTGATCTCTCAATTTTGGACCATGCAATAGATTATAGTGGTCACCACTAGTGCACACATCTTACATTTGTATTATGGTATACCGGTGAAGGGAGTCTCTGGATGGAGCTGATAGGGATTGTACTGTGTTAAATAGAATCAAAGACTTAGTCCCATCTAGCCCATTGCCGGAGGGGTCAGTACAAGGTCATCTTTTGACAATGGGTTTCTGTTTTCACATAAGGAAAACAGTGGAAATGTTTCATTTTTCCCCAGGCCTGTCAACTTCCTCCTTTTGTCTTAAGTGCAATATTCTGCAGAATGACAGCTGCAAGCCACAGCGAACACAAAATCAGAGACTGACAGAGGAGAGCTGCTTTGCCTCTATCTGTTATGAATGTGTTAAGTAGAGCTGGTCAACACTCTGCAATTGAAAAATTATCTAATTGGAAAACATGGCAAAATATTTCA